AGGTTTTGGTGGTTTCATCTGAAGGTGTGTGCATGATAAGCTTGGTTGGACTGAATTCTTCTGTACCTTACCACAATGGAAAACTGAGCGTAGCATCTAGGACGGCAAAATATGTGTTAGTAATGTTTTTTCACAGTACATAGTCACTTGATGGCATGTGAACTATGCAGTTTTTAATATCTGAAATTACAGGTGATTCTGTGTTAGGACAATTTAGGATTAAGATCACACTAACAAGTGCTGTTTTCCCTTTCTTTTACCTTTAACTAATTTTAAACTGAAATTTTCCAAGTCAGAAATCCCTCTGATGAGGAAGATGTTGTGCACTTCATCAGTCACTCCTGATAACAGGGCCAGGAAAAATCACAACCGCATTAGTGCAGAAAGGTGACTTTGGATTGGGATGTACCCGTGGCTGTTCCCATGGCAGGCTGCTCAGATTGGCCGTGTTAGAATTATTTGAAAAATAGCAGAATTAGCCCTTAAGGACTCGTGGTATTTAATGTCCCACAAGGTTACACCCACGCTGAGCGCGGAGAACCTCCCATGAGGCAGGATTTATCCTACAGGCACATCTCCTGGAAGGACGTGGGTTGTTGGAAGCCAAGTTGAAGGACGTAGGGCAGAAGCACTTGTAGTTGTTACGTGGGGAGAAATGGGCAGAAGAATATCTGCTGGCTAAACTGTGTCTTCCTCCTCCAGACCCCAGCAGGAAAACCCTTATTTTTGTCTTTCAGCAGCCCGTTGTGGAGGGCAGGTGTTTGTCAAGGCCACTGCTGGGGGTGTCATGTTGCCCTCTAGCTCTGGGATGTGCCAGGGTTGAGCATCCTGTGTCTCCATGCAAGTGGCAGGTTTCTGGCAGGGGGGTGATGGCAATGGAAGACTTAAACCTTTCAGCTCTTCTGATGACCTCTGCTGGCATCAGCATGGGGGAATTCCTTTTTTCTTAGTCTGCTTTTGAAGAAGGTCCAAGTCTTGGGATTTCATACAAAACCTTATGAAACTTTCCCGCTCCCTATGATGCGTTGAGTTCAGCTCTCAAAAGTGAAGACAGTAAAAACGCTGTGCTAGAGTGTGGGGGATTTTTTTTCTGGTGTTAGAAAACACTAAACTTCCTGAAATTCATTATTTTCTCAATGATTTAATGGTTATATTAGGAGTTGTGACATCAATTTTGAAATGAGGTTTGCAGTTTTGTCTACCAATAAGATAAATAAGTAGCTGTAGAAATCGGAGAACAGAGCGAAGGGAGTTGAGTGTGGAGTGGATGAACTGATTTTAACAAGACAAGTCAAAGTGTTTTGGATCACACTTCAAAATTATCACCTAGGAATGGACCTCCTAATTTAGCAACTGTCTGTTGACACCCTGCTTGGACTTCGTGTTGGTGTTTGGAAATGGTTTAATGATAAGCTGTTTGGGCCCCTGAACATTAAACAGCTCAATAGTCCATGGAGTTCTGTGTTTCTCTAGTCCCCAAAGGCCAATCTTAGAGACCTGTCCTGAATTATACATTACATGAAAACTTTAAATTAGTTTGTATTTTCAAGGATCCCCTCGCACCAGAAGGAGCTGTTTACTTTAAAATATAACACACTTATATTTTTTTTTCTCCTTACCACTCTCATTTTATGAAAGAAGGGAGAACAAAGAAATACTGAGGGTGGTTTTAACATATTGCACCAAAGAAAAGAAAAAATCATTAAAAACTATTGCAAGCTGGCTGGAGGCCAGGTTTGATCACGAGGAATCCCAAAGTGCTGTGTAAACTTGAACTGTACCTGAGGTCCACTTTGGCGTCTACTGGCGCAGCGTGGTCTGCAGTGGCTCTTGGCAAGACTTTGGAGCAGCTCAAGCAGGAGATGAAACTTTCTGTAATCTTTTTTTTTATTCCCCCTCCACCCCCCCATCTTTTGCACCTCCTTCTCCAAGGGGTCTTCTGCCTAGATGGAGCCTAAATCTCTTATCTCCATTTTTCTTTCCTGGATCTGTACCCGTTGTCAGAATTGCTACTGTTACACTGGCCGTAATGGGAAAGAAAGATCAATCCTGGAGACTGTCAGCGCGGCGCTTTGAGGCTGCTTTTGAATGACGCAGACTATTTCTCATGGTGCAGTTTGCCAGTGCAGCTGAGCTGCTGCAAGGTGTGGTCCTGCTTCCCTGGGCACTTCTCAGCCCCTTCCTGCCTGCCAGTCCTGGCACTTGAGAGCTAACTGGGCAAAAAGCTCACCCTACCAAACCGGGAAGGGTTTTTTTCCTGCGTGTTTAGCTCCCTGTTTCAGCTCACTATGGGATCAGATGAATGAGTGCAAGCGCAGATGGAAAGGGAAGAACAAAATGCATGAAAGAGGGCTGGAGAGCTGGACCAGCCTCTTGGCTTCAGCTCTTAGATGGGTATGGTGTTGTCAGGTCGGCATTATTTCCTGCCATGCTGGATTTCTTCTCTGGGTTTAATCTTTTCTTCACCCTGCTGCTGGTGTTTCAAGCCACTTTTCCTCATAGGAGTTATTTTGCATCCTTTTCTGATGTTGGTTCTCTTTGCTTTAAGTTTGGTGGGGTTTTTTTTTCTCTTTTAACTGCTGATGTGAGGTAGAAAAACAGATGAGGGAAATTAATGAAAGGAAGTTAAATTGGGAAGAAAGAACAAATTTCCATATTCTTTGTCCTGTTTTGTTAAGATTCATGCAATATTTTTAGTCAAGGAGGTTTAAGTTTTGTCTTTTTGGTTTAGATGAAGACTCAGGAATGTATAAGGAAATGGTATTTTCATCTGTTCTTCAGAATCAGATCTCAGCACAGAATCAAAGGCTGCTGTGCTCTTAGAAGTGTTTTATTTCAAATGGAAAAGAAAATAAAGCTGCAGCACTTCGGAAAGTTCAGCTACATTCCTGAAAATCTTTCAGGGGTTGCATAGGTTTGCTGCTTCAACTCTTGCTACGAGTTTGATTTAAAATGACCTCCTAAATCTGTTAATAGTCTTGCAAAGCGACTCATTTTGCTTGGCCCTGGGTGGAAACCACGCAAACCCACCAAGTTCTGCAGGAATTCTTCCAGGAGCCAAAGCTGCTCAGATACAGTAAAGGGTGAATAAATCTGAAATTGTGGTTTCTGACACACCTCCACTTTTTTTTTTCTTTTCTTCCCCCCATTACATAAATCAGCTTAATCTGACTCTTCAGGAGAAGAGAAGCTATTCACCTGCATACTTAATATTTTGTTAACTCTAACAGTGTCCTCCCAGAACTCAAGATGTTTTCAGTGTGAGCACAGACAGAGCTGAAAGGAGCAGAGGTCCTGCTGGGAGAGAACCCCTGGCATGTGCTTACCCTGGTATTACATTCAGATGCATATGACCCTTTCTTCTCTAGAATTGCAATATTAAAAATGAGTTAGAACGAGTCCAGAGGAGGCCACGAGGATGATACGAGGGCTGGAGCAGCTCTGCTGTGAGGACAGGCTGAGAGAGTTGGGGCTGTTCAGCCTGGAGAAGAGAAGGCTCCGGGGAGACCTTCTAGCGGCCTCCCAGTACCTGAAGGGGCTCCAGGAAGGCTGGGGAGGGACTTTGGACAAGGGCAGGGAGTGACAAGACAAGGGGTGACGGCTTGAAAGTGGCAGAGGGGAGGTTTAGATTAGATATTAGGAAGAAATTCTTTGCTGTGAAGGTGGTGAGACACTGGCCCAGGTTGCCC